CGCACACACACACACATACACACACACATTTTTGCTCGATATTAAAGTGCCAGTGTTTGGTTTTTTGTGTTTTTTTAGGACAGTTTTGACAGCAGGAGCGCAACTTTTCCAAGGCCTCCATATTTCAAAGCGTTGTTTGTTTGTTTGTTTTTTCATGTCATACTGAGAAATTCAAGAGATTATTTTCACTTTCACGCCTGAAGTCACTAATTTTGACGCTTTTAATGGCACAGCTGAAATGACGCAGATTGCAGACTTAAACACTTAATTGACAACAGTCAGGATAGAGCTGATCGCATACACTAAAGTATGTCCACTCGTTTGCATTTTTTTTTCTTTCTTCTTCTTCTTCTTCTTCAATTTTATTTTTACTTAACATGATGTAGTTTTAGAGGCCATTCATGCCCACTCCCTGGGTGGATTCAGGTGGGTGCAACAAGTCGGGGGAATGGCACGGAGGGCTCCCCGGCGCGCTGTGCTCGCTATCGGTGTCGCTGCCCCTCTTCCCCCCGCTGCCCCCGGAGCCGGAGCCAGCGGACCCCCCGGCGCTGTGAGTTTTTACGTGCTTGCTCAGGTGGTCGCTGCGCATGAACCTCTTGTTGCACACCGGACACGCAAAGCGCTTCTCGCCGGTGTGTGTGCGCAAGTGCCTCTGAAGCTCGTCGGAGCGCGTAAACCTCTTCCCGCAGAACAGCCAGTTGCACACGAACGGCCTCTCGCCGGTGTGCCACCGCAGGTGTGCCTTCAGGTGCGACGTTTTGCCGTACACCTTCCCACAGCCGGGGATGTGGCAGCTGTGTAGGCCTTTCCGCCGCAGGCTGGCGCCCGCCGGTCCCAGTCTCTCCGCCTCTTGGCAGTTCGGGCAGTCGCAGGTGGCTCTGCCCGAGTACCGTCGAGCGGAGGACCTCGGGGAGCCCGCTAATGCTGCAGGGGGACCCCCCGAGAGCATAGTCCCACCTGCTCCAGTTAGCGGCGAGGGGCTCGTGTCCGGATAAGAGGGTAACACCGGCTTGAAACCGTCCATCAGGTGTTGGCCGGTTGTCAACAGGTGTGGAGAGGGGCTCGTGCTGAAAGCAGAGTGACTTAAACTGGAGTAGTCAGAATTATATCCTCCGAGGGGAGAGTGTAAGGAGGTCTGCAGTCCACCGGAGTGTAAGGACGATTGTAGTGCTGCTCCATTCGGGTTCTGAACGTCAATCCACCCCGCTGCTCCCACGTCCCACCAGGCAGAAGCTCCGGTGGTGCCGACCTCCCCCGCCGGGATCCCGGGGTGGGATGACTTGAACCAGGACTCGTACGGGTGCGCAACGCTCATCCTCGGATAAATGCCTTGCAAGCTGTCCACCGAAGTGTGCACCTTGGAGATGAAGACCGGCTGATGGCTGGACTCTTGAGAGTTGCTCGAGGCTTGGAAAACGGAGTAATCGTTTCCGAAATGGGAGCCGGACGACGTGCCAGACGTGAGAGAGAAGGCACTGGATCCGCTGGAGCCGTTGTTGCCGAAAGAGTCCGAGGCAATGCCAGATCCGTTCCGGGACACCCCGAAGCTGGACAGGCCGGAGCCGAGGCTGCAGCTGCTGGCGGCGGCTCTCTTCCACGGGTGGAACCCCTTCCCAAAAGACGAGGAATTATCCGATATAGCGGACGGTGAAGGGCTCGGACTCCCTATTTTGTTGCATGTTGCAGCCAACATGGCTAAAGGAGTCGATCCTAACCTCGGCTCCTCCTAAAAGGGCGCACACACACGCAAAAACAAAAATCTAAGTCACACTGTGCAAAGTTTAAAACTTTAGCAGGTTAAAACGAAGATGTGTATGGCAATATTTCAGAAAAAGGACTGCTCACAATGTTTCAAATGATTTTTTTTTAAAATACTGTGTATTTGGCGGCAGTTTGCTTAAAGTTCTACTCTAAGATTCTCATCACTTCCTACCTGATCGAGAACAACGTCAAAGTGCAGACAAATTCCAACCTGAACACGAGCGAAACCATGCGTGTTTTTTTTGTTTAGCTCTATAAAGCAGAACTTCCACGAACTTGCTGCTGAAAGTATAACCACCGCACTGGCTCTGCTGCAGTAAGTTTAATCCCCCTCCAAACGGCAGGACAATGACAAGAACTAATTAAAAGCAGAAAGAAAGTCCCTTTTTTCGACTCACCCCTAGAAGTGAAGTTGCCATCACACAAAAACACTGCCCTCCTCAGAGGATCTTTTTATATTTATGAATCAGGAGCGCTGCTTTCCCCCCCCCCCCCTTCTTCTTCTCCTTTTTTTTTTTTTAGAGGTGTGCAATACAATGATGCGTTCCGCCCATTCTTCCACAATTGTAGGCTCCTCTCTGGCTTTGAAGTGGCGCTGTGTGACACGGGCGACCAATCAGCTGCCCCCTTCCCCGCCGCACTGCCACATACTAACCGTGAGGTCATCGATAGAAGAGCCCCCTCCCTCCCCTACCCAGACAGCTCTCCACCCTCCAACCCACCCCCGCCATAATAAAAGACAGCGGAAGGAAGGTAAAGTTAAATGAGAGTGAATTAGGAAGGAGGAATTAAGGGAGGGGGAACAGCACTTATTGAAAATTTACAGAACAGATCTCATAACATAAATTTGAAAAAGAAGGAGGAGTGATCACGATATGGGGTCAATCAAACATGCCTGCGGAGTTAGGCAACAGGCCATACTGAAGCCGTACTGAAGCTCCAGCATGCAAAAAAAACAAAACAAAAAAAAAACAAACAAAAAAAAGTGACAGTTTACACTATAAAAATGAACTCTGTGTTATCTTTGATTTTAGCCATTAAAAAGAGATTAAATCAAACATTTTGTAATGTTCAATAACTTAAATTCTAACATTTCTGGAAAACATAGAAAAAAAATGTCATTTGGTATTATTTTTTTATTTTTTAAATTTTATTTTGTCTGACTTAGAGGGGTAAGATGAATATTTAAACCAGCAAATGATAACTGTCATAAGCTCAAAAACTACACTTAAAAAATGAATTTTGGAATGTATACAATTTTAGTCATTAATGTAATTACATTGCTAACCAAAAATAATAATTTGTAAAGTTAATATTTAATATTGATTCTATTCTGACAAGATGAAGCACTTTATTTTTTTGTTAAAAAAATATATACAATTTCAAAAATGTTTGTGATTCAGAGAACTTTGGTGTTGGAGTAACAATTTAGATTTGTTTTAAAGTTTTAACTAGTTCAGTGACAGCGACTATGTTAAAGTCGGAAATGTAAACTAAACATCTCGAGGTAGGTTTTTTTAAGCTGCAGTTTTCATAAGTAAAGGTTAGATGTCACTCTTTCAAAACATGGTTCTAACAGTTCATACTGCTTCAATGGCATTTCATTCATTAGTTTAATGACAGCGCTAATGCTAAAGCCAAACCTGCTAGTGACATCTGTAACCTGGAGGCAGTTCCTACCAGGGAGTATTAGATCTTGAACTGTGCTTTCCATGAAAAAGGGTGTTATATTCTGATTTCTTGAAATAGAAGTTTTAGAAGTTGTTTACATTTTGGAAACATTGTATTGCTTTAACCATTTTAGTGATAGAGCTAAGGCTAAAACTAAATTTCCTAACAAGCTAAACTTCATAAACCTGATCCAATCCTTGTTACTCAGCAGGACATCTTAGTTGTGGTAGTCAGGAATAAGATCTACATGCCTTCATGGTCTAAATTTATTTACCCTCTTTTACGATTCCTGTAACATTTTATGCAATAATAACAACCGAGTTCTTATATTTGTTCAGTTTTTGAGGGGAAACAAACCAGATAATCGAAATTTTAAAATGCACCCAATTAAGCTTAGCGTCTCTTAGCTGTTAAAGATATAATTTCTACTCAGAAATGTTAGACTTTTCGAATAAAATGGTGACACATTTTTGTATCAGTTTTCATCCTTTTATTGTACGAGTTTCTTTAAGTCAGTGAAGAAAATAAAGTTGAAAGTTTCTATTTTGAAATTAAGATCATCCTCAGAAGAAAGTTGTAGATTCTCCTTTTTCACCAGGAACGCAGTTGTTTGCTTCAATCCAACCAAGTCTAAAGTTGTTTTGGATCTTTTACTCTGTTCTATTTTTTTTTATTTATTTATTTAAATTATAGAATTATTCTGCCTCAAAGGGGAATTTGCATGTTTTAACTTCTATAGACTTAATATACACAGAGCATTACAGAAAACATAAAGGCTGCATTGTTCTGCTCGTGCACTTATATTGCATCGTCTCAAACTTTCACATCACTGTAATTGTGTCCAATTACCTTGACAGTTTTGATTAAAACTGTTATAGACGGTGCATTCCGGGGTGGTGCACGCGTTTGTGTGTGTGTCTGTCTACGCGCGCGCGCGCGCGTGTGTGTATTGGGGGAGATTATTCATTTCATTATAAACCATGTTCATCTGAAGCAGCAGATGAAGAGGATGAGAGGTCGGCGTGGTTGACTTTAGAAGATTTACAGCCATTAGAAATAATAATAATAATAAAAAAAAGTATATATTTTCTTTCTAATTCCAAGACGGGTTTTGGTTTTAGGAATTTGTTAGAATAAGTGATTCCAATCTGTGCCTGAAAATAGAGCAATCCTGTTAAATTAAATTGGTTCGTCGCTTTCTCCACTGACATTTGGTAAAATAATAATAATGAAAAACTGTAAGAAGCTCGTGTTACATAATAAGATATTGAAGGCAACGCGCGTTTGTGGTCATTTGCATGCAGTGTGAGCTGGGGGCATAAATTTCATTTGAATTTCAAATTTAATAACGCGGGAGGTTTTTAATCATCCGCAGTTTTATTTGTTTGATATTAACATGCTTATTGACCGGGTCTGTTGACCAGCTTGGTCATTACGGGACAGGGAAAAGTTAATTAAAACGACCAGGGATTATTCATCACATCATCTGCCCTAACCCGTGTCGCTTCCTTTATTGCGCAGCGTGATAGATGGACAATCTGATTAATTCCTGTGTTTCTAGGACTGGACAACCGCTGTTTTTTTCTTCCTTCTCTCTCTGTGTATGTTTGTGTGTATGTGTGTGTGTGTGTGTGTGTGTGTGTGTGTTGGGTTCACCCTGAATTTCCTTTAGGTGCGAGGAAAAATATGGAGTGAATAATGTAAAGATTGTGTCTGATGCGAAACCACCACAGCGACTTGATCATTTTGGATTACGCATCTTGTTTAATTGCAAACGCTTCCAAACGCATACTTTCCAATATTTACAACAAGTAAAATTAAATGAAAGGGAAACGACACTAATTTGCATAAAATTACATCTATATTTTGACTTTGTAAAAATAGATCTCCACTGGGTATAAATTAGCTACATCAAACTACGATGTATTTTTTTTTAAATTATTATTATTTATTTTATTTGTAAAACTAAGCCAAGGTATAAAAATCAAGCGGCGAATAATTTGTCCCAGCGTTATAAAAAGCGAATAAAAAGTGATGGTGAGAAATAAAACCTACATACCGCGCTCCACCGCTCCTTTGCAGCGCATTGATTGACCCTCGATGTTGGCTGTCAGGCGGAGGAAAAACACCAGCATCTCCTGCTCTCCGGTGTGATCGTGAAACGGTGCCAGATAAATGTTACACTGGCAATTCAATTAGGAATAACTCGGCGGGGGGATATTGAGCTGAACCCAGTTTCTTACTCATACTCCTGAACTCATATATTTTGATTTTTTTTTATTGAATGCTATATCGACAACTCAATACCAGTCATATCATTCGTTTTATTTTATTTGCTTATTTTTTATAGTTGGTTTTCTTTTAAGAAATCAACACTTTCCAACCGTGTGCACTTGGTGGTTTCGCGCATTTGGAGAGCGACGTTCGCACCACAGCTCAAGTGTTGGCCGCTGGTGACAAATTACTAAGCGGTCTAACAAGAAAGAGTAATATCAGGGGTCACTGCGATAACCCCAGACAAGGCAGCACAGCTGCTCAGCCTATGCAGAGAGTAGAGAAAGTAAGGTTTACATGCTATTCTTTATCAACACGTGCATCAAAACTTCTTGTGTCGCCTGTTGCATTTCAGCAGGAGCCGCTTTTCAGCTCGTCTGGTGCGCACAGGTTGTTCCCCTCTAAGCGCACGGCTGTAACTGTAAGCCGCAGTTGAACAGATGTCCCCATTGAAGGGCTTTCTCTTTTTGCGCGCATGCAGGGGCTATATAATACCATCATGAAATCAAACTCAAAACCTGTCCCTTTCGCTACCATAATGACCGAGTTATTCTGGGCCGCTGAGCACGAACAAAGTCCGTTCAATATTGCGTGCTGAAGAATCACTGCGCAGCTAAGAAAGAGAGAGAGAGAGAAAAGAAGAAGAAGAAAAGAAAAACAGGAGTCATGGCCATGGATGGAGAACTGACTATGCCACTTTTTCCTCATGTGGAGATTTTCAAAGAATCTAATCTGAATCTGTCGAGAACTCCGATTTTTATTGTGCAGGTATAGGGAAGCAATCACTTGTGGCTTTCCAGCACATAGGTCACAAATACAAATAGAAAGTTAATGCAGTTTGTTAAATAAAACTAAAAGAAAGTATGCTAGCTGGATTCAGCAACAAGCAAAACAAGAGTTTTGCTTGTTGCTGAAAAACAGCCACACAGCTGTTTCATCTGACTGTAGCAACATCTTCTATGTGTTTGCTCCAAAAAGCAGCTGAGATTGATTACTGATATTAAACGTGGTGTGTTTTTTCTTGCCGACGAGGCTTTTAAATCAGTGATTTGCACAGGCTTTTATTTAAGGGTAGCTAAGTAACGGGGGATGGACACAAATGGAGATTTGATTTGGAAAAAAAAAAATTGAAGAGCATGTTTACTTTTCTCTACACTGTTGCACCCTACTTTGTGTTAGTCTGTTACATACAATTCACTGAAGTTTGGGGTTGCAATCGAACACAATGTGACACATTTTTTTAGGGTTTAAATACTTTTTCAAGCCACTGTAAATAGCCAGAGTGGAGCAGGGTTTGCATGTTGTTGTTTTCTCTTTTCGCCAGGAGGTTGCAGAGAGCAGATGTCCGTCTGCGGACCGGCTGCCAAGTGGGTCCGGAGGCGCAGGGCAGCCTCAGACACAAGGGCCCAAATGGTGTGACAAAAGATGTGCAGGAAGCCCCTCTCTCCGCCTGGGTGAGCCACAGAAAGGGTCTCCCCTCTCTGCCAGCCTGTTGGGCCATCTCACAACATGAGCCAGCCATGAGCGCTGACTGCATAGCCATG